ACGCAGGCAACACGCCGGGACGTGGCAAATTCGCCGGCCCAACGGGCCAGAGGCGTGCTAAGATCTCCGGTAACTGGTAAACAGTATTTCTAGTTCGCGCGCGCGAGGCGACCCCTGGGGGTCCCTGGATCAAAAGTACCCCGGGCGGAGCCCGGGACACGCCCGGGACACTCCCCCAGATCCTCCAGGATCGCCCCAAGAGGGCCCCAAGAGGCCCCCAACACAATCCAAGAGAGGTCCGAGACGCCCGAAGATCGCTCCACGGCGCCCAAGATGGCCTCCAGACGGCCCAAGACGTCTCCAAGATGACCCAACAAGCCTCCAAGATGCCCCAAGAGACCTCCAGGAGCACTCCCAAGAGGGCCCCAAGAGGCAAAAATCAATGCTTTTTCTTAGGTTTTGGACAGATTTGGGCGTTTCAACCTTTTCGGTTCCCCGACGCCCCTAAACGGCTCAAGAGGCCTCCAAGATCGCCCCAAGAGGGCCCAAGAGGCCCTCAAAAGGGCCCCAAGACGGCCCAAGACGGCTCCAAGACGGCCCCAGAGGCCTCCAAGACGGCCCAAGAGGGCCCCAAGAACGCCCCCAACACGGTCCAAGAGAGGTCTGAGACGCCCGAAGATCGCTCCACGACGCCCAAGATGGCCTCCGGACGGCCCAAGACGTCTCCAAGATGGCCCAAGAAGCCTCCAAGATGCCCCAAGAGGCCTCCAAGAGAACTCCCAAGAGGGCCCCAAGAGGCAAAAACCTGTGCTTTTCCTTTGGTGTTGGACAGATTTGGGCGTTTCAACCTTTTCGGTTCCCCGACGCCCCTAAACGGCTCAAGAGGCCTCCAAGATCGCCCCAAGAGGGCCCAAGAGGCCCCCAAGAGGGCCCCAAGACGGCCCAAGACGGCTCCAAGACGGCCCCAGAGGCCTCCAGGACGGCCCAAGAGGGCCCCAAGAACGCCCCCAACACTACACAGCCCCCGACGCCGCAGCTCCACACTGCAAACGACCACTCGGACAGGCGACCACGGTGCGACATTATGGGCCGGCGGAATGAGCGAAGCGATTAAATCCGCCCGCCCACCGGGCTGAGGGGCGTGTGGGATTTAACTACAGAGCTTTAGCCCCCCCCTTTCCCCCCCCCCCCAGAAGCCTCCGCCATTCCGCCGCCCGGCTGCGGCAATGCCCTTTTTCGGTTTCCAAAACGGCTCCACGACGGCGTCCAAGATAAGCTCGATCTTGGTATCGTTCTGAGGACGCTGCCGGGGCGCCTGCGGGCTCCATTTCGGCCCCGTCATGGCCCCTTCTTGGCCTCCAATATCCGCTCCCGGAGCCCTCGACAGCGCCTCTTTGGCTCATTCTCGCTGACACGTGGGGATGTAAAAAACATAGCAAATACTATGGTTTTGGCCTGATTTCGGCTTCCCCGGGGCTGTCCAGGACGCTGCTTACAGTTGACTTCCGGGCTCGCGTGCGTCATTTTTCATCACTCCCTTTGGTTCGCCGTTCTTGGACGCGCTCCGGGTTCATTTTGGACGCTGCGGGGCCCATGTTGGGCCGCAAAACGGACCCCAAACCAGGTCAGACCCCGCCCGGTTTTTACTGCAAGACGGACGCGGTTGCGACCCAACGCGGAAGTGCTGTCGCTTGAGCCGCCCTGGGCTTCCCCCAGACCGCCTCGGGCCTTATTAGCCTCTTTTTGGGCCCTTTTCGGGTTCCTCTTCGGCCCTTCCTGGCGCCCAAGAACGCCCAAGGGCGGCCAAACATCGGCCCAAGAGGGCTCCAAAAGGCCACTTTGAGGGCTCCAGGGGAGAGGGCGTCAATCGGGGACCCCGCCCCTCGTGTGACCGATGGCCTCCAAGGAGGCCCCAAGAGCTCCTCCTCCGAGGCTCCAAAGGGCCCCCAAGAGAGCCCCAGGAGAGCCCAAAGACCCCCAGGCTTCCCGAAAGAGCACCAAGATGACCCCGAACCATTCAGAGGAGCCCCAAGAGGTCAACGACGGAGCCTCAGCAGCACCCCGACAGGCCCCCCAGAGAGCAACGTCAACAGCAGAAGCACCACCAGCAGCGGCAGCACCACCACTGCGACCAGCACCAGCAGCAGCAGCACCACCACCACCACTGACAACAGCAGCGGCACCACAAGCAGCAGCAGCACTAACACCGGCACCATCAGCACCAGCGCCAGCAGCGCCAGCAGCAGCAGCAGAAGTAGGACCAACAGCAGCAGCGGCACCCGCACTACACCGTACCACCAGCAGAAGCGACAACAGCAACACCAGCAGCAACACCAGCCGCAGCACCACCACCACTAACAGTAGCAAGTACGACAAACCTACTGTCGAACAGCCACGAGGCATGCCTGAGCATAGTAGGCGATAGCATAGGAAGAGAGAACGCGGGACAAAAACAACACAGCACACGACTTTTATGGATTCCTGCTTATGTTTATCCCGTCATGGAGCCGTCTTCGCCTCGTCCGGCGAGAACTGGAATGGGCGGGCGGTGAACGCGAAGCGTCTTGAATAATGCATTACGAGATCAGAAGGTGCAACGTCCTCTTCTAGGGATCAGCGGAATGGCGTCGTAAGCCTATTGAGCAAATGGAGCCAGTGTTCTTCGTGCCAAGCTGAATTCCTCCAGCAAGCTGCCTGGAAACACACGCAGGTTCGTAAACTATGAACTCCTCAGGGATGCATCGGAAAAGTACAGTAACCTTCAACGCAAGGCGGGCTTCCACCGATAATCTGCGTGAATCCTACCACGACGCTTCTTTACAGTGTACGTAATCCGGGCTATATTCGCAAGCGTTGCTGGTTGTTTGCGCGTTCGTTGGGCAAATGTCAGTGACCAACACCTGGCAGCAGCCATCAAGAAGAGGCAACCTGTTTATCTGAGAAAGACGTGGCCTTAATCCAGGCTTTCGAGCACGCTCGTCAATCTGCCCTCGCTCAGGATCTTGCGTATCCTCTGGATGAGGTGCAATCTGACTGAGAGGACACAAAAGTAATCGCGATGTAGTAATAGTAGTAGTAGTAGTAGTAGTAGTAGTAGTAGTAGTAGTAGTAGTAGTAGTAGTAGTAGTAGTAGTAGTAGTAGTAGTAGTAGACGTAGTCGTAGTCGTAGTAGTCGTAGTAGGCGAAGTGGTAGTGGCAGTGGCAGTGGCAGTGGCAGTGGTAGTAGTAGTAGTAGTAGTAGTAGTAGTAGTGTAGTAGTAGTAGTAGTAGTAAGTAGTAGTAGTAGTAGAGTAGTAGTAGTAGTAGTAGTAGTAGTAGTAGTAGTAGTAGTAGTAGTAGTAGTAGTAGTAGTAGTAGTAGTAGTAGTAGTAGTCGTAGAAGTAGAAGTAGTAGTAGTAGTAGTAGTAGTTAGTAGTAGTAGTAGTAGTAGTAGTAGTAGTAGTAGTAGTAGTAGTAGTAGTAGTAGTAGTAATAGTAGTGATAGTCGTAGTAGGTAGTAGTAGTAGTAGTAGTAGTAGTAGTAGTAGTAGTAGTAGTAGTAGTAGTAGTAGTAGTAGTAGTAGTAGTAGTAGTAGTAGTAGTAGTAGTAGTAGTAGTAGTAGGTAGTAGTAGTAGTAGTAGTAGTAGTAGTAGTAGTCGTAGTAGTCGTAGTAGTAGTAGTAGTAGTAGTAGTAGTAGTAGTAGTAGTAGTAGTAGTAGTAGTAGTAGTAGTAGTAGTAGTAGTAGTAGTAGTAGTAGTAGTAGTAGTAGTAGTAGTAGTAGTAGTAGTAGTAGTAGTAGTAGTAGTAGTAGTAGTAGTAGTAGTAGTAGTAGTAGTAGTAGTAGTAGTAGTAGTGTCGTAGTAGAGTAGTAGTAGTAGTCGTAGTAGTAGTAGTAGTAGTAGTAGTAGTAGTAGTAGTAGTAGTAGTAGTAGTAGTAGTAGTAGTAGTAGTAGTAGTAGTAGTAGTAGTAGTAGTAGTAGTAGTAGTAGTAGTGGTAGTAGTAGTAGTAGTAGTAGTAGTAGTAGTAGTAGTAGTAGTAGTAGTAGTAGTAGTAGTAGTAGTAGTAGTAGTAGTAGTAGTAGTAGTAGTAGTAGTAGTAGTAGTAGTAGTAGTAGTAGTAGTAGTAGTAGTAGTAGTAGTAGTAGTAGTAGTAGTAGTAGTAGTAGTCGTAGTAATAGTAGTAGTAGTAGTAGTAGTAGTAGTAGTAGGAGTAGTAGTAGTAGTAGTAGTAGTAGTAGTAGTAGTAGTAGTAGCAGTAGAAGTAGTAGTAGTAATAGTAAAAGTAATCGTAGGAGGAGGAAGAGGAGGAGAAGGAGGAGAAGGAACAAATGGACGCGACCTCCATCCACAACTATCTGTCTTGCTGCTCCTCATCCCCATTCCGCCTTCATCTCTGCACTTCTTCCCTCTCCTTTAGAAGTGGCAAGAACATCCTCCTCCCCCCTCCCTTACTCATTCCCTGGGGTGTGGAGGTGGGGTGGGGGGGAGGGTAAAGGGTAGGGACACTCCACCCCTCGGGCACACAGACGGGCAACAACGAGAATGGGGACCTACACACGACGACGCGGTAACCTTGCGCGATAGCTCACGCGGGCCGCCTGCGTGGAGAAGAAGGCGCTTACACACGGTCTTGCGCGGGCAATTTGCGTGCATGTGCGCGCGGTTGACCCCCTTGTCGTCCTGCCGGGGGGCTGTGAGGGGGGGCGCGGCTGTGGTGGTTTTCCTCCCTAGTCGAATCAGTCGGGCAATGCAAAAGGTCTTCGGTCGAAGTAGTTGTCCAGGAGCCTACGAAGATCGCCCCCCCAACAAAAACATGTAAACAAGGACCGAGTCTCCCGTGATTCACGTCTGCTCGTGCGCCTCCAACGCTCACGTCCCCATGACCCTCCAACCTTTATCCGCCACTGCCCTGTGCTGTGACGCGTCGCGGAGCGACAGAGGTGGGAGACAGCGGGCAAGTCGTCCGCATCACTGAAGGCACGGGTGACGACAATGTCGTGCGAGTCTGGTGTGGCGTCGCTGGCGCGGCCCTCTACTCCGGGCAACCCACTTCGCCGGAAGGAACGGAGGAAGGCTCGCTCAGCGGAGGGAGGCGAGCGGAACGAAGCAACGGAGAGAGGACGGTGACAGGGGGACGGAAGGTTCCTGGAGACTCTTCTTCTCCTCCTCCTCTTCCTGCTACTACACTCCTCCTCCTCATCCTACCATCTTCCTCCTCCTACTTCCCCTCGCCGTCTAGGGCGCTTTATCATGCGCTGTTCTAGTCTGGTGTAACGTGGGACGCCTGTGGTGGCTCATAAGGAGACAAATGATAAAACAAAAAAAACATCCCATGTCCCAGGGCCGATTGTCGGCAACGCGTGAGCAGGAGAGAGCCACAGGAGTGCGACGCGCATAGGTCCTACAAGCCCTACATCACTGCAGTAGTGACACAAATCGATCAAACACATCCATCCGCCGGGCCTCCGTGTGGCCGCCTGGCTCAATGGGTCGCAACGCGTCTGCGTAGGCACACCCAACCGAACTCCACCAACATGCGAGCGATGCTTGACAGACCCTTGCCCGGCTTCGCAAGCGGCGTCGCGCGCTCGCGTTCGCGCGGCGGCGACGGGCAGTCGGAGAATCTGTACTTCCGTCCTGCCTGATGACACGACGGAGCGTTCACCCGAGCCTCCGAAGTCGTGACCAGCCCACGACGTGGTCGCCTGGGACCGGCGTGTCGTCGCGGGTTGCTCTCGTGCCGCTCTTTGACTGCGCGGGGCCCCGGGACGGGCCTACGAGGGCCCGAACTCAGGACGACTGGCCGTCTCAGGGGCACCGGGTGGAGGAGGACGAGGAGGAGGAGGAGGAGGAAACGAAAGAGGAAAAAGAGAAGGAGAAAGAGAAGAATAAGGAGTCTTTCAAGACGCAGGGGTCTGGGACCTTCCCGGAATCGACACCCAGATTTTTCCTGGACAAGCGCTCTGGCCAGATCCAGCTGTAACCACGAGGCTCCTAATGACAAGGTCCAAGAGGGCAAAATCAATCAGGGGAACTGAGTCCTCGATGGTCCTCGATGCTGGATCCTCGCGAGGCACCCGCGCTCCTGCGCGGAGGCCTGCCTTCCGAATCGCTGCCAGACAGCCCGGTGCCCAGGTGCCCGGGGAGGACCCAGGACCGCGAAAAACCTCCAGACCTCCTTCCCTTGGCGGCGCGCACCGGTGGGGAGAGGGAGGAGGGAGGAGGGCTTCTTAGCAGGAGGCTGCTGCTTCTTAGAGGGCGCCAGCCCTCCATCCATAGATGAGGCCCGCGCCTTCTAAGAAGCAGGGGTGCTCCTCCTCCTCCTCCTCCTCCTCCTCCTCCTCCTCCTCCTCTAAGACGCCCTCCCCCCTCCCCCCCGCCCCCTCCACGCGCGGCTTCTTCCCTCCGGACCCCTTGGCCTCGAGGGAGAAACAATTATCCTGGCGAAGGACCCAACCATATACAGTTGTGAATAACGCGTTGTGGGTGCCGCTTTCGGTGGAGCTCCCTATGGGGCCACGAAGCGCGTGAGGGACGTGCCGTGATGGGTGGGGGGGACGCATGCGGGCGGTGCCACTGGGGCCTTAGGTGGGGCTCCTTATGGGCCACGAGGCGCTGTCCTGGGTGTGGCTGACGCATGTGGCCACTCCCACTGGGGCCGCAGGTGGAGCTCCCTGTGGGGCCACGAAACGCTGTACTGGGTGTGGCGGACGCATGTGGCCACCCCCACTGGGGCCGCAGATGGAGTTCCCTATGGGGCCGCGAAACGCTGTACTGAGTGTGGCGGACGCATGTGGCCACCCCCACTGGGGCCTTAGGTGGAGCTTCCTATGGAGCCACGAAGCGCTGTACTGGGTGTGGCGGACGCATGTGCCCCCCCCCCCCCCCCACTGGGGCAAGTGGAGCTCCTCCCTATGGGGCCACGAAGCGCTGTACTGGGTGTGGCAGGCGCATGTGGCCACCCCCGCTGGTGCCTTAGGTGGAGCTTCCTATGCAGCCACGAAGCGCAGTATTGGGTGTGGCGGACTCATGTAGCGACTCCCACTGGTGCCTTAGGTGGAGCTTCCTATGGGGCCACGAAGCGCTGTACTGGGTGTGGCGGACGCATGTGGCCACCCCCACTGGGGCCTTAGGTGGAGCTCCCTGTGGGGCCACGAAACGCTGCACGGGGTGTGGCGGACGCGTGTGGCCACCCCCACTGGGGCCGTAGGTGGAGCTTCCAATGGAGCCACGAAGCGCTGTACTGGGTGTGGCGGACGCATGTGGCCCCCCCCCACTGGGGCAAGTGGAGCTCCTCCCTATGGGGCCACGAAGCGCTGTACTGGGTGTGGCGGACGCATGTGGCCACCCCCACTGGCGCCGCAGATGGAGCTCCCTATGGGGCCACGAAGCGCTGTACTTGGTGTGGCGGACGCGGGTGGCCACCCCCACTGGGGCCTTCGGTGGAGCTCCCCATGGGGCCACGAAACGCCGTACTGGGTGTGGCGGACGCATGTGGCCACCCCCACTGGGGCCGCAGATGGAGTTCCCTATGGGGCCACGAAGCGCCGTACTGGATGTGGCGGACGCATGTGGCCACCCCCGCTGGGGCCTTAGGTGGAGCTCCCTGTGGGGCCACGAACCACCGTACGCATGTGGCCACCCCCGCTGGAGCCTTAGGTGGAACTCCCTATGTAGCCACGAAGCGCCGTACTGGGTGTGGCGGACGCGTGTGGCCACCCCCACTGGGGCCTTAGATGGAGCTCCCTATGGAGCCACGAAGCGCTGTACTGGGTGTGGCAGACGCATGTGGCCCCCCCCCCACTGGGGCCTTCGGTGGAGCTCCCTATGGGGTCACGAAGCGCGTCAGGGTTGATGATAGTAGCGATGATGCTGATGATGGGGAGAGGGGGAAGGGGCAGCGGGAGGGAGGAGACGCGGGGACCGTCTCTTTAAAACGAGGACCCAACACCACAAGATGGTTGGGAAAAAGCGGCTCGTGGCCGCGAGTGCTTGCTGTGTGCTTGCCGGTCGCGCTCGCCCCGGCGGTGGAGGCCATAGCGTTAGGTCGGGCATGCCCACCTGCAGGCCGAGCTTCGACGAAGAAGTAAGACTACTCAGGAAATACCCCCCAAATGGTCCAAACACATTAAAACAATCGCCTCAAGACTATTGTTTGACTATTTTTGAATATCCCACCTGTACAGGGACAGGCCCGACTTAACCATAACGCTGGGGCGAACGCCGCTGTCCGCCCGAGGGGGGGTGAGGATCTGGGGCGGATGGAGACGCCGGGCAGAATAGAGGGCAGAAAATCCACACCGACAAAAACCACCCCGACACGCGAAGCCGTTCAGTAAACGCACCCAAAAAGAAGGAATCAAACCGGGCAGGGCTGTTTCGCAGACGCTCAAGGCCGTTTAGTAAACGCCAGGTGTCTGGTCCGGGTGGTTTTCCCTCCCTTGACAGGGAGAGCTCGGGATCTCTGAGAGCTGGGGGGTCCAGACGCGGCCTCCTGGGCGATCTGCTATCTGTACGCGTTCCTGGGCCTGCCTGGCTCTTCCCCCCTCCCCTGCTTCCCTCCTCCCCTCCTTCCTTTTCATCTCCGTCCTCCTTCCTTCCTCCCCTCCTTCCCTCCTTCCCTCTCTCCTGCTCCCTCCTCCGCTCCTTCCCTCCCTCTCCTCCTCTTCCTCCCTCCTCCAACCCCCTCCCGTTCTCTGTCCCTCTCCTCATCCCGCACCTCCAGTGCGGCTGCGGCTCGTCAATGCTGAGCTCGCGGCTTTGACGTGGTGAATGAGCTGGGGAGGAGCGGGATCCAGAGGGTAATGGGGAAGAAGGGGGTGGAGGAGAGACGAGGCAGAACGCGCCTCAGAACGGCAAAGCACCCTTTTGCAACCCTTCCTCCCTTCCTCCTTCGCCTCCACTCGCCCCTCTCCTCCCCTCCCCTCCAGTTCTCTCGTGGAGGCCCAGGAGTGAGTCTCAGACTTCATCTGGGTCCTCGTGCGTCCCGCGGGCAAATTTGTCCTCTCGAGGGATCAAACCCTGGAAACTTGAATTTTGTCAATCCATGTCTGCATCCGCGGGCATTTGAAAGGGCGTCTTGCCTGTGAGTCCCCGTCTGTGCGTGCTGCCGTGGAGGCGTGGCGGATATATCCTGATATCTACACAAGCGCTCTCTACGGTCTGCGCAACGCCCGAAAAACTGCGGGTAAGGAAGACACTGAGGCAAAGACAAGAAGAATCACAACGCGTAGCAAGTGGTGGTATACGCAAGGCGACCGATATTTGATGCTAGTTAGCGTGGACCCCAAACAGTGTGGTTCTAGCAGTATAGGTTGTGAAATATACGTGGAACAACTTATGATGGCTAATCTACGTGGTGCATCACTGTGGTGCAACTTACTTTCACGAACGCGTTGACCACCTTTCACGCTCTTGCAAACATCCCACCCGCCCACCCGCAACTTTATTTGCCCAACCCGTGCGGCGGCGATTGCGATGAGTGCTGGCCGTTGGCTGGTGCATCTCTGCGACCGCGCTAGCCCGCGCACGCTCGCGCGCAGAGCGGCCAGCTAGGTTGGCGCGACCGACGCGGCCGCGGTGGCGCTGACCGCTGGACGCCTCCCAGCAGGCACTTCATTGCGAGTCGGTGTCTGGGGCGGGCGCGGTATCATGGAGACGTCGGCAACTGTAGACACGATTGTGAAAGTAGTGATTGGTGACGATGGTGGTGATGACGACGGCAAGGCCAATGACGGCGCCGATGTTGATCACGCCCGCCGATAACGATGACGATGTCCTCGCGTCGGCGATGGAGGTTTTAGAACGAGTTCGACATGCGCGCGCGGCCGACGCGCGCGACTGGCCCGCGTGGTATTATCTGACACGGAACGTGCCCCCCGCAGCACGTGCGCAAGGGCGTTCGGATGGATTTGACATGAGGCGCGAAAGGCCCGCTTGGCAGAATTCGATGAAAAAAATGGGAAACCTATGATTGTCTTAAGAATCCGCAAGAGCGCGAACGCAAGAATTTTTGAAAACAGAAGTCGGAAAACTATGTTTTAATTATCCTGGCGGAGGACCAAGCGTATGCAGATGTGGGTACCGCAATTGTGAATATCTTCTTCGGTGAAGCTCCCTATGGGGCCACGAAGCGCTGCACTGGGTGGGGGGGAAAGCATGCGGTCGGTAGCACTGAGCCCTGAGGTGGAGCTCCCTATGGGGCCGCGAAGCGCTGTACTGGGTGGGTGAAAATACCAAATTGGGTGCGTGGGACGCATGCGGACGGTCTCACTGGGGGCTTCGGTGGAGCTCCTAATGGAACCACGAAGCGCTGTACTGGGTGGGTGAAAATGCCAACGTGGGCTTCCGGGGCGCATGCGGACGGTCTCACTGGGGGCTTCGGTGGAGCTCCTAATGGGGCCACGAAGCGCTGTACTGGGTGGGTGAAAATGCCAACTTGGGTTTCCGGGACGCATGCGGACGGTCCCACTGGGGGCTTCGGTGGAGCTCCCTATGGGGCCACGAAGCGCTGTACTGGGAGGGTGAAAATGCCAAATTGGGCGTGCAGGACGCATGCGGACGGTCCCACTGGGAGCTTCGGTGGAGCTTCCTATGGTGCCACGAAAGGTTGTACTGGGTGGGCGAAACTGCCAAATTGGGTGTACGGGACGCATGTGGCCACCCCCACTGGGGCCTTCGGTGGAGCTCCTTATGGGGCCACGAAACGCCGCACTGGGTGTGGCGGACGCATGTGGCCACCCCCACTGGAGCCGCAGATGGAGCTCCCTATGGGGCCACGAAGCGCTGCACTGGGTGGGGGGGACGCACGTGGCCAACCCCACTGGGGCCTTAGGTGGAGCTCCCTATGGGGCCACGGAGCGCCGTACTGGGTGTGGCGAACGCATGTGGTACCCTCCACTGGGGCCTTAGGTGGGGCTCCCTATCGAAACGCCGTACTGGGTGTGGCAGACGCATGTGGTACCCCCCACTGGGGCCTCAGGTGGAGCCCCCTTATTAGGCCACGAAGCGCCGTAATGGGTGTGGCGGACGCAAGTGGTACCCCCCACTTGGGCCTTAGGTGGAGCTCATTATGTGGCCACGACGCTCCGTACTGGGTGTGGCAGACGTATGTGGTACCCCCCACTGGGCCCTTAGGTGGAGCTTCCTATGGGACCACGAAGCGCTGTACTAGGTGTGGCAGACGTATGTGGTACCCCCCCTTTTTCTGGGCCCTGAGGTGGAACTCCCTATGGGGCCACGAAGCGTTGTACTGGGTGTGGCAAACGAATGTGGTACCCCCCCCTTGGGGCCTTACGTGGAGCTCCCTCTGGGGCCACGAAGCGCTGTACTGGGTGTGGCAGACGCATGTGGTCCCCCCCCCTGGGCCCTTACGTGGAGCTCCCTATGGGGCCACGAAGCGCTGTACTGGGTGAGACGCATGGAGGAAGGAGGGGAGGGGGACGAGGAGGGAGTGGGAAACGGGGCGCTGTCTCTTCAAAACGAGGACCCAACACCACAATATGGTTGGGGGAACAACGTATTTTTGTACAACAAATGTTTTCGGGACGTTCGATTTTGAAATCCCTACGACACCAGAAATCGCTCAAGGATTTCGGCGTGCGCGCGACGACGCGCGCGCGTGCACTTTGTCATTTTATTGCAAATGGGTTCTTGCGACAGCACGCGCGCAACAGCGTTCGAACGATTTCGGTACGAGCGCGCGAGCCAATTTGAAAGCATTTTATGAACATGTTGGAAGCCTTTGGTTTTCGTAAGAATTCGCAAGAGCGCGGGTGCACATTTCTTGGTTTGAGAACTTTTGTTGCACATCCATGTGCCCTAATATGTTTTCGTGGCACTCGATTGTGAACTCCTTACGGAGCTGGATTTTTTTGACGGGTTTCGGCATGCGCGCGTGGCGATGCGCGCGTGTGCACTTCGTCTTGTTTTTGTGTGCCAGGGATTCTTGAAAACATATGGTTTCTGAGAAAAGAGCGCGCGCATAATATTTGTTGCCGAGGATGGCGCGGGGGTCGATGCCGGCCTGACTGGGATGCTACGAATCCATATTTCGGATGGACGAGGGGTCAGAAATATAGATGAACCCGCAAGCGAAACCGATGGTGGATAGGTCCGGGGGGAACCAGGGGTAGAATCTGACATGTTTTGATAACATATATATATATATATATACACATATATACATACATATATATATATATATATATATATATATATGTATGATTTGTGCAGTCTAGGTGGTGCAATTGACTGCCCTGCGCCGCGCTTCACCGCCTCCCACGCTCTTGCAAACATCCCACGCTCCCGCAATTTTGTTTGCTGAGCCCATGCGGCGGCGATTTCGATGAGAGCTTGGCGTTGGCTGGTGTATCTCTGCGGCCGCGCTAGCCCGCGCATGCTCGCGCGCGCAGCGGCTATCTAGTTTGGCACGGCCGACGCGGCCGCGGTGGCGCTGACCCCTTGGCACTTCCCAGCGGGCACTTCAGTGCGAGTTCGTGACCGGGGCGGGCGCGGTATCATGGCGACGCCGACAACTGTAGACACACACGATTATGAAAGTAGCAATCGAGACGAAGGTGGCGATGACGACAGCAAGGCCAATGACGGCGCTGATGTTGATCGCGCCCACCGGTAACGGTGACGATGTCCTCGCGTCGGCGATAAAAAAGTTTTGGAAGGAATTCGACATGCGCGCGCGGCCGACGCGCGCGAGTGGTCCGCGTGGTATATTTCCCCAGCACGCGCGCAAGGGCTTTCGAATGAGTTCAACATGCGGCGCGAAAGGCCCGTTTGGCAGAATGTGGTGCCAATAGTTAGTGCTGGAAAACCAAATGGCTTTCTGAAGACTCCGCATTGGATTTCGTAAGAACCCGCATCAACGCGAGCGCAGTTTTTTTGTTGTTTTTTGATGAAAAAAGCAAAACAATCAATAATACCTTATATATAAGGATATTAGTTCGTGATGAGGGAAAACAAGAAAACATGTGTATTGACATGTTTTCGTGATTCTGAATTTTGAAACCATTGCGAAACCGGATGTTTTTGAAGGGTTCTGACACGCGCGCGCGACAACGCGCGCGTGTGCACTTCGTCCCTGTTTTTCTCAAAATCATTTTTGATAAACGAGAGCGCGCATAGTATTTTTTGAAAACGGATGGCGGAAAGGCTGATGCCGTCCTGGCTGGGATGCTACGAAATCGTATACATGATGGACGAGGGGTCACGATCATATATGAATTCGCATGCGAAACCAACAACATATAAGTCCGTAGGGGGATGGGGTATAATCTATCTCTTTGAAGAAGCGAAATTTTTATATTATGAAATATATGTGATGCACAATCGATGCGGTGCGCGACATGTGTAGCATAGCATGCTATGCAATATCTGTTGTAGAAACTATGTGGTGCAATTCACTTCGACTGTCTTGAATCTGTCCTCTCCGCTGCTCGTGCAAACGTCCCACCCTCCCACCCGCAACTTGGTCGCAAGACTTCTTAAGACCGTGACGGTGGGTACCAAATGGTACTTGGCAGCGACAGCGACGCCGATGACGACGACGCCGACGACTACGACGACACCGACGACGTCTCCGACGACTCCGAAGACGACAACAGCGACGACGACGACGCCGACGACGACGACGGCGACACCGACGACGATGACGACGACGCCGATGCCGACGACGACGACGACACCGACGACGCCGACGACGACGGCGACGACGACGCCGACGACGAGGACGACAACGACGACGCCGACGACGACGACGACACCAACGACGACGAAGACGACGACGACGTCGACGACGACGTCGCCAACGAAGACGACGACGAGGACGAGGGAGGAGGGAGGACGACGACGGCGACAACGACGACACCGACGACGGCGGAGGGAGGACGGCGACGACGCGAACGACGATGAAGGAGGGAGGACGGCGACGCCGACGACGACAACGACTAGGGAGGAGGGAAGACGACGACGACGACGACGACGGCAACGAAATATAGGAGGGACGACGACGAGACGCCGACGACGGATGACGATGACGACGAGGGAGGAGAAAGGACGACCACGGCGACAACGACGACGGAAACGACGACGACGCCAAAGAGGACGACGACGACGACGACGACGACGACGAGGAAAGACAGAAGACGACGACGGCGACGACGACGACCAGGGAGGAGGGAGAAC